GGCCAAAAATAAAAGCACTTGAGAACTGCTAATTGTGGAACCCCACTGGTTTCGTCTTTTGAAAGACGCTAATGTTGTGTTTCCAAATCCTTCTGGTATGGTAGGTGATATTGGGATTTCCGCTACACTCAGAAGCGGAGGGTACTTTTCAGTTTGTGAATAACAGAGCGGGAAAAAAAGCACAGTTGTTTACATTTGTTGTCTCTTCCACAGGTACCAAGGGGCTGAACCCCATGCGAAACTTTATCCATCGCGTTTGCGTATTGTGTTCTGATGTAAACGCAGACAGGAGAACCGAGCTAGAAGCAGAGTGTACTTGCCATTTTGTAAACAATACAGCGGCAAAAAAAGCGAGAGTCATTTAGATTGAGTGAGACAGGCACATCGGGGTGAACCCGGGGCGAAGACTTCGTCCATCAGGTTTGCGTCTTGTGTTCTGTTCAGATGGGAGGAGAAACAGACCGACAAGCAGTGGACGTTCCCGCGGATACCGCTACCGGACTTTGGTCAAACGAACATCCAAATGGCACGAAAAAAGATGATTGAGTTGAGTGCAATGTCTGAGTGAACGCGCGCCTTTTACAAAGGGTCGGCGGTCAAATAGGGAACAACATGGGGTTCCGTTGTCTCATTCGTTGATACATACTGGAATTGCATTGCACCAGGAACAGAAGGTACCCCTTCTTCCCATGCATTGTCTACAGCTAAGGAACAGCATAGCCACTTATACAATGTCAAGGATAGATTGACAACAACGCGATGACCAAGACGTGCTGCCGGCGGCATCCCAAAGGTGACCTGGTCGCCAAATGAATTCAAGAACTTGTGCCTTTTAGCAGTTGCAAAACAGCTGTCCTCCGGGTGCTCCGCAGTCCACCAGCATCCGCAATACCCCAACATGTCCCCCTCGCATGCCGCCTTTGAAGAGATACTGTACCTCACCGTGCGTGTGGTGGGAAAGGACACGTTCCAATATGTCGACCAGCCCATCGTTGCCGCAGCATCAACCTCACGGTCCAACAAAACCTTCACGATGTCGTAATGACCGTTCTTTGCTGCAAACCAGAGACCGTCGTTTCCCCGACCGCAGCTTAACTCTCCAAGTTCCCACCAATAGAAGCCTCATTCAAAGTCATAATAAGGGCCATGATGCTTGCGGACTTCTTCACCATTGTCTCTGGTTCCATGATTGAACAACATGTTCACCGCCTGTACACTGCCCACCGCCGCCGCTCCCTTCATGGGAACATGGTATGGGGTTTCTGCGCTTGCGACCCACCCCACCAGGATTTTGTTGACGGCCACCAGCCGAGCCACCTTTTCTGTTGGAGGTTGTGTAAGGGGTCGCGGACTTCTCGCCGCGGACAGAGCAGAGCCTTTTCCTTATGCTTTCGCCACGCGAGAGCATCGCTTAGTGATGCAGGCATTCAGATTGCGGCAAGCACTGTGCCTGTGCGGGATGGAGAAGATTAGGTCCACCTTTTCAAACGTACCTCATCCTAAGTGTTAATTGTTTTGTCCTGCGAGCTTTTGGGGATAAACGAACCAAGTGCATAAGCGCTGCTGGTGCTGACAATGTTCGACGCATCCGCGGCCTGCATTGACATCTGCGGCGTCCTCGACGAGGATGGCGGGCGCAAAAGTACAATACGTAGCGCATCCTGAACGTCTCATCAGGTGCAGTGACACTTGACTAGGTTTCAGAAGTGAAGAGTTCCGTGCCCGGTCCTCTCCCCACCCAAGATCATTCGCAACCGCGGGGCGGCCCAGGAATCCCGCGATAAGAACGCAAATACATGGGAGGATCTTGAGGCAACCAATAGCACCCTGGAAAAGCATAACATCCCGTCGTCTGCAAACAGCAGCAGCAACCAACCGAAGGCCTCGTCTCTTGCCTCGAAGAACTCGCCTCCGCACTGTGATAGTCTCCGCTCCCAATTCCAAACCGCAACATCTGCTGATCAGTCAACACCCAAATTCTCACTGTCCGCGACCTTCACAAACAACCATCCCGGCAGCGGATGTCGCGCGTCAAACGTGAAGATACGGACGAACCCTACAACGGCACAACCACCGACGTCCTCTCCCTTGGATCCATCGTCGTTATCGACACCCTCGTGGACGACGGGTTACTCGCGTCCTTCACCTGTTCAGAAAGGGAAGTGCAGTGGGGCAATTGCCAACGTAGGTAGGTAGATCACCTGCCATGCAGTGACACCGCAAAAGCAATACCTAGACAAGTGCAGAAGTACAGTCACCGTGCCACAAGGCCCAAGGACCAGGTCGCGTCGTGATGCTTGTCTTCTCCTCACTCATCCGTCAACCATCCCAAGAGAACATCATCTCCAACACACTCCTGCTCAAAGAAAAGCCTCCCGTCGTCTTACTTCCAGACATATTCCCCTCCATTGCCAGACACTCCCATCCCATCGACGCTCGCAACTTACAACTCCTAAACAAGGAAATCTCGTCTGTCATCACCACCAACGACCTTGTGTGGGGTGAAGCACGCTGGAGATGGAGTAAGAGTCCCCGAAAGTGTTGGAAGTGGGCGGCAGCCGGGGGTCATGTCGACGTGGTGAGGTGTTGTTTGGAATCCGACAAAGGGGCGGACCTGCCCATCAATAGCGGCGATGCCCTCTGTTGGGCAGCTGATGGAGGACACCTGGAGACCGTCAAACTGTTGTTGGAGAAAGGGGTGGATTTCCTTGCCCATGCGGGGTATGCCCTTCATGGGGCAGCAGAAGGGGGACACCTGGATATTGTCAAACTGTTGTTGGACGGGGGGGTGGACTTCCCCGGCCGGGAGCGGGACACCTGGAGGTGGTCCGCCTGTTGGTGGAGAAAGGCGCGGTTGTGCACTTCCGGGGTGACGAAGCGTTGGGTGCGGCGGCAGGAAGCGGACACCTGGAGGTCGTCCGCGTGTTGTTGGAGAAAAATGCGGATGTGCATGCCGATGGCGGCGATGCGCTCTGCCGGGCAGCAGAAGGCGGGCACCTGGATATCGTCCAACTGTTGTTGGAAAAAGGAATGGACTTGCATGCCCATGGCGAAGCTTTGAGTGGGGCGGCAGAAAACGGACACCTGGAGGTGGTCCGCTTGTTGTTGGAGGGAGGGGTGGACTTGCATGCCTATGGCGAGGACGCTTTGAGTGCGGCGGCAGAAAACGGACACGTGGAGGTTGTCCGGCTGTTGTTGGAGAAAGGTGTGGATGTGCATGCCCGAGGCGACGAAGCTTTGCGTACAGCAACGAGAATGGGACAGATGGACGTGGTCCGTCTGTTGTTGGAGAAGGGTGCGGACGTGCATGCGTGCGAAGATGTATTGGCGAAAATGTCTGGGAACACGGAACTGGTCAGTCTATTCATGGACTACGGGGCGTGTATGCCGCAGACGCATTGAAAACCCGCCCGGCCGCGCAAAATATGTGGTGAGTGCTACCTGATGACCTATAACCTATTTACCATTGAAAAAGGGAAAAAGCCCACTGACAACCGCCATTTCCAGCCACGACTACAACTACCACTTGCAATCCAGAAGGACGACGGGCAAACCTTATCCGCACCCTTCGGTTTCCTCAAGAGTATTTTAGATAGGAACTACATAGGTGCAATCAGATAGGCTACGGCTCGCTCGCTACCTATTACCTATAACGTCGCTGGCCCTTCCAGTCCCAAAAAAGAAAAGCAGTATCCAAATCCTGACTCTTTCGACGTTTGGCCTGACGTACAGGTTTTATTTACTCCTGCGTGCGTACATACACGGACGGTGCGTTTGCTCGTTGTCTTTTGGGTTTCCTCCTGTTGAGACCTCCCTGTACCAAACGGGAAGCAGCAATGCCTCTGGCTGCGAGCGCCCAAGGCGTCAGATTACGAGTACCTTAAATTCATACCCTTCACGAGCGGGCAGTGCTAGCCAGCGCGAAAGAACATAAACCGGGCATCAAAAATGGAGCAACGGTAAATCTCGCAAATTACGCACAACATTGCCCTGAGATATTGTGCGCATTAGATGGCAGGCAACAACAACCACCGTTATCTCGCGCTCAAAAATAACCCATCAGTGTCGTGTTAAAGAAAAGTACATGTAAATACGATAATGTTGGGGTGTCAAGTAAAAAAAAATGACCAGCAAAGACATAGAATCCCTCCACGCGCAACCGTCCCTAGGCACGCGAACGTTTCCCTACACCTTCAACTCCCTCTTAAGAAAGAGCACAACAACGTGTGCATCTTCCCCACGGCTTTGAAATCCCACAAAATGCCAACAAAATCCCGAGCTGAGACCGGTTTCTTCCTCATTCCTTTTCCGAAGCATCGCTGTAGCTTGGTCCCAGCGAGTGACGCTGAGACACGACAACGCGGAAAACACCTGCATATCCACCGCACTCTTGTCCAATTCCATGACCTTGGAGCACTCCCATCCAAGGTCGGGGTGGACTCGGCAGGCGTAATAAGTGGTGGAGGAAGGACGATCGAGCGTATTCAAAATGTCCACAATCCCCGGCAACCCGTAGTACACAGCTTCCGACGCGATAGCAGCCTTTGTGACAGTCGGCGTAAGATGGACTTCATTTGTGCGCAGGTAGCCGAGGACGACAGCAAACAAGTCTGGGTCGCGGTCTATGAAGATGGTGGGAATGCCAGACAAGGAGTCGGAAGGCGGTGTAGAGGTGTGGAAGCGACAAAGGCCCGCCAGCATTGAATCTGGGTAGTTGAGGAGTGTGGAACGGGTGGTTGAGAAGATACGACCCCCAACATTGAGGTCGATGCGGTGCGTGGGGTTAGTATTGGCGGAAGACATGAAAGTCGGACGGACGTGAAGGTGCCAGGCCAGAAACAGACGGATTCAGGTGAATTCCGCATGGCCTGTGCCTCCAAACTCGAGGTTAAATTACATTCCATACTTAGTCATATAGGGCGGCACAGTTTCTGCGACACAACCGGAATTGCGTTTACCTTTATGTGGCACCGGCCTCCAGACCATTTTCATAAGAAAACGGGGAATTAGCTCAGATGGTAGAGCGCTCGCTTAGCAGTTGCACATCTAACGAAAGCAAATGAAATGTGAGAGGCACGGGGATCGATACCCCGATTCTCCAATATCCACTCGTTTTTGTCGTTTTTCCAATCACATTGGTTTCCCTGCTCCTTCTTATGTTTTACTTCTTCGCAGTCGCGTCTTCCCATATCTGAGATTGGATTCTTGTGGCAGAAAGTTGACGGTGTTCCGCCCAACGAATGGTCGAGTTGTTTTGCGCTAAATTAATTAATTTAAGTGGTTCCCCCACCGAATCCGTTGGCCATGCATGCCATGACAGGACGGACAATGGGGGAATTTTTCCCGGACCAAACAAAGCTGACCTCATCGAGCCGATTGTTTTTGTTGCCCCAATATGAAGTTTGTAACAAACGTCCCATCATCCGTCCCATCATCCCATTTTATTCTGTTTTTTCATCTCCCTCCCAGCGCTCCTTACACGGTCTCTGGGCCAGGTCCCATATCTCCCTCCCACCACCACCTACCACCGAACCGACCTTGTCTCGCACAGCGCAACTCCTTTTTCCTGTACCATTTTTATTTGTTGCCCGGGTTTGCATCCTTTTTGGCGTCTATTGTTTTGAAGAAGGTATGAGTGGTGGATATCAACGGAGGGATTTGAAGAAGAAGAGACAAGGGGGGATGTGTTGAGCGGCACGAGCAGAAGGCGGGAAGAGGGGGATGGTTGAGGGGGGCTTTGGAGGATACTGTGTGACGTTGAAGCGGACCCGTGGTGTGGGAACGCGCTGGTTGTTGCCTTTTTCCCCCCCCTCGACATGTCCCAATTTTCCCACCAAACACCATCCGTACACACCCGCAACGCGAAATTTGGAGAGGACTGGGGAGGTGGAAATGGGCATATTCATAGGGTAATTGGCGGTGAAGAGAGGATAAGGGGGACGAGGAGAGGGGTGCGGTGGACTGAAATGGAGGGACGCGTCGTGGCGAATGGCAGAAATGAGGACCGTGGGAAAGCGGGGTTGGAGGGGAGGGTGGGAACGAAGGCAACTCCTTCGGCCCCAGGGGATGTTTATTACCATTGAGTTTGAAAGTATAAATCATGGACTCACCGTTCCCGTTCCTCCTTTCATCCACCGTATGCAGGGCATCACATCAAAAACCACTCTTTCCATCGCCCTAGCGTCACCCACACCCACCCCCACTCGGACCGTTCCAACCGACAACCTCTGCCGGGCTTCGACGGCCAGCCTGTGTCCTCCGACCGCGATTTTCATCAAAAGTAAAATCCCCCTGACACATTTCCCATCATGTCGGTCGCGGTCGGCAACTCGGATTTTCGCCCGTTGCCAACAAATCCAAATGCCAAAATCACCGGTGTTCACGAGTCTTTGTTGCAAGAATGCGAGAAGGATATCATCTGGTATCGAGATAACTTTTTTGGGAAAGGTGGGTGGTGTTTTGAGCATGAGGGGTCATGGATGTGGGAGCGGAGGAATTTGGGGATACCATATAGCGGTTGGAATTTGGTTCTTGGTATCTCTCGCATTTGCGATACTGTGGAGGGCGTGGAGGATCTTGTGAGACCGGCAGGGTTCGGGAAAGGAGGAGCTGGCAAGAGTGGCACTGGAGGAACAGTCATGCTGTCGATTTGCGCAGAAGTGAAGCGCTAATCCAACCATTTCTCTCCATTCCTCAATAGTCCACCAAAACTACCTCGCCCTCGACTCTCCCCGCGGCCCACTCGCCATCTCCGTAATCGAAGACGGCGACGTCTACAAAGCCCTGGTCCGCACAACCGAAGGTTCAGAACGTCTAAGCGTGGCCAGATCCGCCGTCCCCTGCCCGTGGTGGAGAAAAACGCTCGGCATGGGTCCGTCCCTGTCGGCATTGATGACAGCCATATCCCGCAACATTCCATACCAGAATTTGAAGCTGTGCAAGGACCCGAATTTGGCGAACGAGTTGCTGTCGATGGAGGAGAGGCAGGTGATCAGGTCGTATAAGTTTGGGGTTGCGTATGTGGGGTTGGGGCAGTCGAGTGAGGAGGAGATGTTGCAGAATCGGTTTGGTGAGGACTTGCTGTTTGCAGTTGTTGCTATGCTGCTTTTTGCCGTTTTCCCGATCTCATTCCTCGCCTCGATTCATAACATATCCTATTTCCTTTCCCCTGATCGTTACAAATAGAGAACACATCGCCAGCATTCAAACAATTCCTCAACTTTCTCGGTGAAACAATAGAGCTCCGCGGTTGGAAAGGGTACAGGGCCGGGCTGGACGTTTCAGGCAGTAAGTCATAACGGAACTTTGTTGATGATGGTCTCTTCGTAGTCCGTGCATAACCGCTGACTCAAACCAGGCAATAACACCGGAACCCAATCCGTCTACACCAAATGGCAAGGCTACGAAATCATGTTCCACGTCTCGGCAATGTTACCTTTTATCCAAGGCGACCGTCAACAAGTAGGTTTGGCTTCCTCCCCTTCCATTTCCCCCTCTTCTTTTCTGCCTCCTCACCCGCTCTTGTTTTGTATCGTAGCTGGAACGCAAGCGCCACATCGGCAACGACATTGTCGTCATCATCTTCCAAGACGGCGACACGCCGTACCAACTCACCAGCATCACGTCGCACCAGAATCATATCATTGCTGTTGTGCAGCCGCATGGGGATGGATACAAGTAAGGGGTTATTTGTCAGTCTGTTGCGTTGTTCCCCCACGGGATACTTAGTTGAGGTTTCGCTCCTAGATTGTGCGTATGCCCGAAAACAGGCGTACCACCCTTCACACCTGACATCCCCGAACCGCCGTACTTTACAAAAGATGCCGTGAGCAGAGACTTTTTCTTGCACAAGCGTACGTCCCTCTTTCCCCTCTGCCCTACCTCCTTTCTGCGCCTAACCTTCCTGTGTTTCATGTAGTGGTAAACGGCGAACGCGCAAGTTACAAAGCCCCCTCCTTTGCGCCCAAAATCTCGCGTACGCGTTCGGTGTTGCTCTATGAAGTTGCGAGTAAGTTTTTGACTTGAAAAACAAAAACTAGCGGTGGGTGGGGAACGAAAAAGGAAATGCGGGAATGGGGAGAGGAGAGCGGAGGGAGGTGGGGAACGGGCCGGTTTTATGTTGTGTGTTGTGTGCTGTGTGATAATTTAATGGGTTGGGGAATACGGTGTGGGAGCGCGACGAAAACTGAAAAAACCGAAAAACAAAAACCTTGGACAAAACGGTGGTGAGGGGTTGGGTGGGGTCAAAGGAAGGATGCGTGGGTTTCGTTGGAAGCCCCAAGGCTAGTTTCTGTTTTTTATAACA